CCCCATTAGATATTAGCATTGACCCGTCCCAGCTCATTGATTTGTTGACTGTTTTCAATGACTGCCTCACCGTTTTCGAACATCGTGTGACGCTTGAGCCAATTGTCGGTCTACCTTCCAGCCTGTTGCCCGTTCCTGCTTGCTCACCGATCTATGTACCGGCTACGTATGCACCCTCCACAATAAAGGTACTACCTAACTCACAGCATACTTATCTACTTACTTATACGGGGACACAACAGGTCAGAGGGAGTTTAATGGTTTGAAGTCATGGATCAGCGAAACAAGACGATGTGAAACGATGGAGCAATCGTACAACCGTATTTTAATCTGGAGTAAACCATTCACAGTCCGCAGATTCTTTTTGCTCAAAACTCTAAACACAGTTTTGCAATAAGCTTAGGAAAATGAAGCACAGTGGTGCACAAAAGTGCAACCAACCAGTCAGGAAAGACCAGATGTGATGGAATTCGTCTAGTCAGGGATGTTTAACTTTCTGCGTGAAAAAAAATTTCGCAATTTTGCGCCTGATTTGAGATTAATTTCAAATCTACCCCAACCTGAATAAAACAATATTCAAATAAACTTAAAAATAACATTATATGAAAGATACAACATGGATGCATAGTGCTGCCCAAATAATGTTTTTTTCGGTAAACAGTGAAAATATGCGATCGTATTACCATGAACTTACCTCAGATTTGATAATTGCTTATTGCGTTGCATGGAATAGATGAATACAAGGAACTAACATTTGAGAATCCGCCAGCTATTCAGGTTGATCAACACGATGCTGCTGTTGGTATGATGATGATGGTGACGGTACTTGTGAACAACAACACCCAAACTCCTTTAATCATTTGGTTACAATGAACAGTATCCAGATGCTGTCAAATGACCCCGAACGCAATGTGCACGAATGTGCTTTTGAGTCGGAAACAAACGCCAAATTAGAAATCAGTAAACCAAACAATAAAGCGAGATAAAATAACCCGTATCACCCTATGGTGATCACGAACGGCGCATATTTGTTCAACAATGCCCCCTAATTCATATTGTTTGAAAAGAAAAGAAACAAAGATCGCTAAAATCAAATAAAGAATTTGTGCCAAACAATCGTACTTTAATCGCTTCAAGTCTTTCAATGAATGCATTCAATCGACCAAACACCCATGACGAGTGAAACGACCATTCAGACGGTTCAACTTGTTGTTCTTGACACGATTCTTTCACGTTTTGCCGATAATCCTCCACCACATCACGAAAATGACGCAAAATGTGCAAAGATTGATTAACTTTGATCAAACCTTCGTCTGGTTCTTCTTTGATAATTTCTGTCGGATCCAAGTATTGGCGACACTAAGTAAATATAAACAAGCAGTGGATGGGATTATACGAACGGATCATTTAAATTTAACTATCATCAGTTTAGACAGTCCCACAGAACACATAATAAGAAAACGAATTGGCTAACAAGCTCTTTTTCAGTGCACCTTAATCATGCCATTACAGTACAATGTATACGTGACTAGTCACAGGTTAACGAGTGAAGGGAGAAGGTAATTGAAATGCTCTTTAGTTGGTGTTATAATTGTTCCACAATTATCATTTACTCCGATATTTCATGACGGGCCACTTGTCATTGAAATGGCATATGTTGTAATGTTATGATTAAGATGCATTAAAAATGAGTTCATTTGATAAATTTCTGTTCGCTTTATGTCATCAGTTTATTCCGAACGGAATTAAATGATTTCATTGTTTTGGTTCCTGCTTTAGTTTACGCCATTATGTTCAATGATTATTACATGTAGTCATAATAAGATCTGTATCAATAGAAATAAAATGATTTCAGTTCAGCTAAGGTAAATCTGGCCGTTTAATGATCGGGTTTTGGTAAATGTTTGGAACATTTGTTAAGATAGATAAGATTCAAAACACAACGGGTAATGAGGTCGCAGGGATGACGTTGACAACGAGATGCAGGCGCAAAGTGCCGATTAGTAACTTTGGTTCCCGGTTACGCGCTTCCAGTGAGTACGAATCAGCACGGCCGAACAAGAACAAGTCTAGGGGTTGTCGAGGTTCCAACTTATG